ACTTCCGGTGGCGAATATGTTGAAAAATAGCTGGACACTTGCTGTATCTGTTGCAATAAATATTTCCATGAAATTGTGTTTTGTTTCTGTAAACGGCCCCAGGGAAACTTACTTTGTGGACGAGCCTCGTACATAAGTATGGTCAACAGTTTTGTTTTATGCATGATTTTATATTCCAATACACTGCACGGTATGCGAGGTGTTAAGATTTCTTAAGTCACTGAACGTAATAACACTTGATGATTAATTATTAAGTAATCTTCTCAGTCAGTTTCTTTACTTCATTTTTCTTAGATCCAAAAATTCAAATCATCAAATAAAATCACAGTAGTGTCACGATTCTAAATGAACCTGGTTCGACTCTTAGCATGGTTGCCAATTACCGTGACTGAAGTTGTTGCTGTTTCCCTCAGCATCTCAGCCAAATTCTGAGGCAGAGACCGACAACTTGCAAATCCTTACATATTCACCATTAACATCTCACTCCGTTCAACTCTTACATCCTTTCCAGCTAAAATTGCGTAAAAAAATCTTAATAATTTAAATAAATGTAATCTACACGTGGAAAATAAAATATATTGGTCACAATACATGAGAACGTTCCACCATCAATGCGGCCAAAAAGTTGACGAAAGTTAATTTGGCCAGAGTTTGAAGCAGTCAACATAATTAAGCTTAAGTTAATGAACTACAGACTCGATCAGCTCGATTCGAAAGCTAGTCGATCAGAAAAGAATCCTTCATCGCACTGCGATACTCATCTCGCTACAGAATTACGTTCTTCCATTATTTTAACAAAGAAGTTCGAACGCAACGCAATCTGAGCAAGAGACTTAGAATCTGTGTATCTGAAGGTATTAAAATGTGGCGTTCCATTGTAAATTGATGAAACATTTCCTCAGAAAACACGAGAAATAACCTTGGACGCCTGTATACAAGGACAGACGTACGTCTTTTGTTTCCACGGGCGTGGGTAAACAGATGTTCTGCCATGTAATGTTACGGAGACAGATGAATTCCGAAGTGCGAGAGACACAGCCGAGTCCATTCTGAAGGGACGTGGGTCAGTTTCAAAGGTCAAATGTTGGGGGGGGGGGGGGGGGCGGGAGACGATCTTGGTCGACATTCTGTCATCTGCAGTCACCTCGTTACAAACATATTATTCCGATGCTGGGGCTAAAATATCAGCTTGTTACCTCGGACACTGGGTTCGAATCCCACTCAAGGCATGGATGTTTGTCCGCCAAAGATTGTAATAAAGTATCAAAGTAGACAATAATCATTTCGTAACTGTCTTCTAAGATATTGCGCCGTGTAAATGTTTACCGACGTTGTCCTGATGATTGAGACGGTAAGCACCTCTGAAACGTCGGTAAATGTCTATCAGACTACAAGGCGTAACATCCTAGAACAAAGCCACCTTCAGTCATTACTGACTTCAACATCTGACATCAGAACCTTTATATTATAAAAACTATGAATATGGTAAGACTTCTTTTCATAATATAAAATACGAAAAAAAAATTATATTTCACTCATTCAGTACTTCCAAAGTCCGTCATATAACATTAAATTAAACACGGTAGGCACTTACAAATATGCTACAAATATAAACGCATCATTTAACGTACTGAAGAGTTTCTTGTGTTAAAGTTAAATACTTCAGTGCACATGAACCCTAAAAACAGCTCGGGGTGGGGCCAACTCGCCACGCCTACAGACAAGATATCCACGTTGATCGTATGTGGGTCGGTATCACAACACCTCCCGACCGTCAGCTTCATTAAAGCCGCACAAGTAGACTACTGCAATGCGGCATTTCATTTTAACGTCGTCTACTGGAACTAAGGACGTGCGGGTAACAGACATTCCGGGCGCAACCGAGGACCAACACTTAACTTAACACGTCTAGTTTAATCCAGGCAAATGTTATCTGTTTCAAATATTTATAAAATTTAGCAGTCAAATCTACTACTTTCTAGCACTTAAAGAGAACGACCTGAAGATGACCAATTAAGGTCGAAATATATACCGGACCTCGAAATATTTATTACTGACGATATCGCATCAACCAGCCAGCAATATCTTTGGCACCCGGTTGAGGTCACCGTTTACATTCTGAGTTCGAATGACGCAGCAAACGTTTCGGAGACGGATTTTGCCGCCATTATCAGGGCTGGTGGAGGCACAAAGAGTCATTGCATTCAGCTGCCATGAAAACTCCAAGGACTACACAGAATTTCTGTTCTACTAACCGTCTGACATTTAATGTCCTGTCATTACGTAGAAATTCCATTTCAGTAACCGGCGTTACTCTGAGACGGGTTCGTAGGATTATTTATCCTAAGGTACCATTAAAGCCAAGACGTTTAATGGCGCAGTGTGAAAAGGTTCACGATGACACACTAGTGTTTATTCATGATATGCAGACCCCCGTTCGACAAGCCATTCCACGCTGGAACAGGTAAATGCGACCTAACTACTTATCCAGTGAAAACGTCAAATGAAGAGTTTGCACAGAGCCGAATTAGATTAAAGTAGCTTTCCATTACATACTAATTTATCGCACATGTCGTGTATCAGGTAAACGGGATTTAAAAGTTCAGACTTTGCCGTCTAGATCAGTGGTATTCAACCTGGGGTACGCGAAGACATCTTAGGGGGTACTTGAAATTTTAAAAAAAAATATAATTTTATGATAAACACTGAATAATTAGTAATGTAATTTATCTTAGATGTAGATTATATACTACGTATAACTTGAATTATACACCAACAACTTTGGGGGGTACAAAGTTGAAGAGAAATTATATCTGGGGGTCGCGAAGACATCTTAGGGGGTGCGTGAAATTTAAAAATAAATTATTTTACGATAAACACTGAATAATCAGTAATGTAATTTATTTAATTTATTTTAAATGTAGATTATATACTATGTATAACTTGAATTATACACCAACAACTTTGGGGGGTACAAAGTTGAAGAGAAATTATATCTGGGGGTACGCGAACACAAAAAAAGGTTGAATACCACTGGTCTAGATAACATACAACGCACATGGACAAAAAAAAGTTAATGTTGTATAGGAAAGTATTTATTTCCTCTCGGGATAAGTTGGACGGGGTTGGACGGTCGAGAATAGATTTCCGCCAGGGAAATGGATTTCTCATGAACTCGAGGCCAGTTCCGGCACGCATTCAACCCGTTAATCAACTGAGACTCGTTTAGCGGCGCCGAATATGAAGACGGCTGTCTTATATCCCTGATGATGGAGGCAGCATGGACCTCCGAAACGTAGGTAAACTTTTACCAGACTACACGGCGCAACAACCCAGAAGACAGCCATCAGCTGTTATCCAACTGGCATAGTGGTACACGTTCGTTCGCTTGTGGTTAATGGCTCAAGATGAATACTGAGAATAAGTGGAGCTTTACCTCCACTCTTCATGGAGTAGCGCCGAGGCGCAGGGGATTTGCCTTTCTTTACATTTATTATCGCTGTTTATTTTTAAAACCAAACGAAGTATACGAATCTTAGAACAGATGAACGTCAGAGCAGGTGTTCAAAACAGCAGTCAACGAGATCGGGACATATAAAGTCAGAGCTTCACTCCGCATTGCTATTATGAGCAATGAGAAACGTGATTTAAAAAAAAAACCTGCAAGGTGAACCGGAAATCATGTATCCTATCCTGCGTGGTTATGATTACGTAAGGTAACCCCCAAGGTCGTACGAAAAAAACAAATGAATAAGCACAATGCAGTGCGATTCTCATGCGATGAAAGATTGGCACACGGGACCTCGTCTAGTCGAGTTTAGAATCTCTCAGAAAAAAACTTGCCATTGGTGTCAAGGAAAAACAAGTCGCGAATGTTTGTCTTATGAAACGGTTTCGCAGTTAACAGCATCAATTAACAATTTAGTTTGTTTGTTTGTTTGTCGTCAGTCTTTCGACTGGTTTGATGTGGTCATCCAATTTCGCCTGTCTCGCGCCAATCTCTTCATTTCCACATCCTCAAAAAATCTGCGTCATATATTCCAATCTTTGTCTCCCCCTAGAATTCTTCCCTTCCATTACCAAATTAACCAATCCCGGGTGTCTCAGAATGTGTCCCACAATCCTATCTCTTCCATAGACTTATTCCTTCGCCTATCCTGTCTAAGACCAGCTCATTTCGTACTTTATCAGTCCACTTAATTTTCAACATTTCAAATGCTTCTACCCTCCTTCTTTCTGTCTTCCCCACTGACCATGTTTCGCTTTCGTATAGAACTTTGCTCCAAACACAACTTCGGAAAAATCTTTCTTAATTCCAGGTCAATGTTTTGACACTAGTAGACTTCTCTTTTTGAAAAAGTCTCTTTTAGTTTGTGCTAATCTGATTTTAATGTCTTCCTTGCTACGTCCATCTTTTGTGATTATTATTATTAATAAACGTACTTGTCTTCACGTAAGGTGTATTTCGACACAAACATTTTGGGCCAATGTTCTACTCTGTACCTCGGTTAACAACGTTTTATAAACCCCATACGACACGTCAAAGAGCTGGATAATTGATGAATAATGAAGGACAGTTTAATACATGAAAATAAAATATCCCCAAATTTGCATGAATAACACAAAATGTCTCTAATGACAGCCGATCTCAGGAAGGGATTCTAACAGGGCACCAGAACACGAAACACGTCTGTAAACCACTACCACGTGACATGCGATCAATCACCAAAACTTTCTTAAACATTTTCGGTACGAATTCTTTGTACCAAATTGTGGGTCAAAGTGCATTGATTACCAGCTGTAATATTTGGGGAGGGGGGGGGGGAAAAAATTACAGACGAGGGTAGGCTATCCTAGTTCTGCCCTCGGTCCCTGCAAGCAGATACTGAGACACAGGCCACATCTTTCCGATTCATAACCTACCACGACTCGATAAGGGAATAAGCAACAAGACATGTTACCTAAACGTCGCGCAGTTTTGGATACAAAGTGAGATGTACCTGTGGCATATCCAGGGTCGGTGTCCTCGTCTTCCAACCCCGACAATTCGTGATGACACTCGACCAACGCAGGTTGATGCAACTGGCAATGTTCCTGATGGCGAAACTCGAATTTATTCCCCGGATTACTGTTGCCTCTCTCGACGTAGTTGGCTCTGGACGTGTGTCCACTCCCGCCGCAGAGCACCACAGCCAGCGCACCTCCTGGCTCAGAGATGCCGACATTCAGAGACGACCGTCGCGAAAGTACCTCGGCGCGAGCAGACCCTGGGAGAGGAAGGGTGGTAACAGCGACACCTGCCCCGTTCTCACCGCCAACACTGTTGAGGCCGGGACCTGCAGGGGTCGTGGACACGGGCACGGACGCCGTAGCCTGGCGACGCGGAGACCGACCCCTATCCGGAAGAACTGACGTAGCACTCCAATAACCCCACGCCATGACGAAGATACTGTGACCTAGTGGACCGACCGACCTTGCTGTTTCATCTGACCCCTTTCGGCCCAGATCCAGCTGCCTTCCTTGCCTACATCACGCCGTCGGGCGATCCAACGCGCAAGTCGCGAAAGCGAGCTCATACCTCCGTCACCGGACTCTGCGACTCTACTGCGCAGACTCCAGGACGTAAGCGATCAAAGCGAACATTATCTCAAGGAAATCAACTGACAGCAAATAACTTTTCATTTGCATTACCACTCACAGTTACAGATTCCGAACTTTAGTGAAGAATTAGACTGGTAGGTCATTTCGAATCTCTCAAGAAAGACCTTGAGCACAACCTTATCTACTGGACTAAACGCACAGTATATAATATATAATCCGTCCATTACACTTCCTAATGAGACTGGTCTGAAACAAGTTAATCCTTTATTACTCCAATTCCTTTTTATAATTCGTAAGGTAATTCAAATACGACAATTGAATATATTTTAAATTGATAAAAACCTGAAGACGACTGTATTACCCGTCGAAACATGTAACGCATATAAGATACAAATTGAATATAGCATATGAGTTACTGAATCATCTTGTTGGTAATTTACATAAAAGTTACAAATGAAATACAAGAAAACGTTCTCATTAACTGCAGAGACTATTGTCTGTGGTGAAACAGTCATTAAACAAGCAACAAAGGCCTATCAGCCAGCTGTGAGTGCAGACATGAAATTCTTTGATGAATATATAAATACCATGAAGAAAAACACATTCAATGTACATGCCCAACCCATGTTATAAATTTAAAACATTAATTCACTAATTAACAGAGCCTATCCAGTTTACTGTATTGTCTTGAAACCAAAAACAGAATACGAGCTGTGGAATTAAAGTTTACCGACGTTTCAGATGTCATGCTGTCTCCGTCATCATGGCGCCCTGAAGGAGGGAGAATAACCTCTGAAACGTCGGTAAACTTCTACCAGACTACACGGCGCAACAACCCAGAAGACAGGAATCTACAGACTCAGTGTTGTGAAAATCTCAAAACCTAAATGACGTAATTAGTTGATTCAGGCAATGCCCACAAAAAAAAATACTGTCAAGATCTTCGAGAAACAAACGGCGACAGATAGTCTCGGAAGGCGACGCTAACAGGTAACAGGGAACACAAGTGACGTCATCACAGCCGTCTCTTCTCGCTAGGCGTCGCATTTAAACAACGTCAATTTATCCAAGAAGGATCTCGGGTTTCCATGGCAGCGAAGATGACGATGTTCTTCTGGGTTTTGGCGCCGTGTAGACTCGCAAGCGTCTCGGAGAAACACACAGGCTCAAATACGCTTCTCCGAATCTTCTACGAATCTACACGACAATCAAAATTAAATAAATGTTGACTTCAAAAGGCATTTTTGTCTCTTTTGATAGTGGTAAGAAAAAGTTAATTTGCCCCTGTGCCCAAGCACCACGAAATAAATATGTGTAGAAGGCGTGAACATAGAACTTCGTGTATTATAGATCCCAAGAGCGTATCGAGAGTAGCCTCCTCTATCGATTAAACAGGAAGCTGTGTAAACCCTAGAGACGGTGACAGCGCCCACCGGAAATCGAAACCCGGCCTCTCGTCTAGACCGCAGATAATTTCCTGGACAATCCCAGCTGTTATCCACCACGTTTTACGAGTCAGTACACCAATATCTACAGCCATTACATAAACACCTTCCTTATTCAATGTCGAGGAATTCAGCGAACAATTTTAATCAGCCCTCTACGTAAGTAATTTTAGCGATTTCGAAGCATAACTCGAAATCCAAATTAAATATATTTAAAAAAAATTATATCATTCACAAATTAGAACCCCAGAGATCCCTAGAGTCTGATATTTCAAATAAAACACAACGTAAATACGTTAACACAGACCTAACCATAATTATTTATTAGTCTTGCCAACAGCAAAGCATCCCAGATTACGGAAGCCACGTAAAAGTGCGCGCACCGGCCATCTTCATTAATAACACGAAGACGTCGGAATTAACCAGATGTTACGTGTTTTTTTAAGTTTCGCTCAAGTCTTGGAATTTTTTTTTTCGTTTTCGCCATAATTAAATAAACTCGATGTTAAATACCAACACTTAAACGATAGCTAATTCTCTGGTAAATGATATTTAAAAACTAAAAAAGCTTAAATCTTACGTTATAGTTCATAAATTCAATGTCTAAAATGTAGGTTACGGTTCTTGAAGGATGTTTCTTTCTAAATGGTAAAACTTGGTGACCAAGACTTTTCTTGAGGGTTCTAAAAACTGAAATATCATCACAACACGCAAACGGTATTACGCATATAAATTCTAGAAAGACTTTATTAAACAGGGTCCTGATATTCAAATTTAAAAAAAAAAAAGTAACCTGTACAGAGTGAATGTTTAATGTCCCGCATTTCCTCACGAGCTTAAAATGGAAATATGGCGCTATTGCATTGCATACGATGAATAAACCCAGCTAAAAGCTAGCTGCTGCTTCGATTGTATACAGCCTTTGTAAAGGCATTATAATGGAGTACAGTCACGTACAGAAATAAAGGCAAAGACGTGGAATAAGGCAGGATGAAGGAAATAAAAAAGGAAGGAGTTTCCTGTGCATGTATAACCCGAGAGAGGTCACCAATTCGAACAGGAATAAAGACTCATGTTTTCAAGTAAGAGTGTATAACGATCGTTGTGCGGGACTGCATAACACAGAAAACTAAAAGGCAGTGAGAATTCATCACGTTGCTCGTTATGCGGGCCTGCGCGGTAGTCGACACCAAGGGGCCTGCTTGCTTCATCCATCTTTGGTCAAACTATTTTCTTAAGTGCCCTGATTCCAATCTGTATTAATTCACTCGAAGTAATGGATCACAACAAAATATATAAACGCAGCGTGTGTGAGAGGTGACGTTCAGTGTCTTAAGAAGTCGGCAAATATGACTTAAGCAACTCGTTACTTGTACTGAGACCTTTGTAAGGAAAGTTCCCTCTGTCGTAAAGGGCGTACACAGCTCCCGGTACAAGATTTACTCCGTTGCGTGGTTAAATTAAGACCAGCATTTCACGCTAACGAAGCTACTGCTGCTACGAGATAAAAAATAATAACATATTTTTTATTTTAAAATCGTTTATACAATCACGTCTCGCCGTTTCGCGCGTTAAAACTAGCGCCTTAAGAATGAGGTTATGTATTACATTTACTATACGCAGAAGAAAGAACTTAGATGGATTCAAAAATAGGAATAAATACATGAATATATGAATGAGGATTTCTACAACTCTGTACCTTTTTTTCCCTTTTGCGGGGGCCGAAATACTCTGTGGAGTCCTCTGGATATTACAATGCGCCCTTGTTAAGATCCAGCATATTCTCGTAACGCTTCGATACCTACAATTCAAATCAACATTATCATCCTTCTACTGAGTTGCTCTTCGAAACGGATGTCTTACAAGTTTCCAAGCAAAATTTATTAAAATCCCACCTTACGTAATGTCAGCCCGAAACCTTAACGGTTGAGCACAGATTTCATTGTAAGGATAATATTAAAGTGTATCTTAAAATATATATTGAGAGGATGTGACTGACTGAAGACAGGGTCCAGTCGCGGGTTCTTGTAAACACGGTAATAAGCTATGGGTTATATAAAAGGAAAGTAATTTGACTGGCTGAGCGACTATTAGCTTCTAGAGAAGGATTCCATGGAGGGACAACAGTATTAACCTTATTAAAACGTAGCCCACAGTTACAATCCTTCCTTCCACTCCTCGCGAACAAAATCACCTGCAGGGGGCGCTGTGATGGGACATTATCAGGCTGTGCGCATTTTAAACAGCCCGATAAGCCTAAATTAGGGCAGCTACATGACACGCGGCCTACCCAAGAACCGGCTCCATTACGTCACGCTATCAGCTGCACGTTTCCTCCAGGGTGCGGTGTCATGGCGCCCTAAGTTAACGCATCTACCCAGATCAACTGATTTTATACATATCGATTTGTATCGATAGCCAAAATACAGATTTACGATATTGATATGTTACGATTTTCTATACCGAAAGTGTAGATTTCTCGATATCGATATTTTTCGACATTCCATAACAACACAAACATATACCGACGTTTCGATGTACACATCGTCTTCTTTGTAGCATTCTTCAATATCGATCATTCGATATTTATATTTCTCCATGTCGATACAAATACTTCACATCGATTAACATAGTTTTTTCGACATCGATATGTCTGACTTATTTATTTATTTATTTTCTTAAATTTTTAAATTTATGATTTTCTAAATTTTTAAAATTTAAACATGTTCGAGCTTTCAAAATGCAATCTGTTTTGAAATTTTGAGTCTGAGATTCGGAACTTCCATTTCTTTTCTTAAAAATTTTTCATTTTAGGCATTGAATATTCAGTTTTTAAACTTTGAATTACCAAACACAAGAGTCCATAGTGGACGCTGTGTTAGGTCAAATCCAGATCTCACACACACACACTGCAATCTTAAGTCTTTCTAACGGTCTGTGCCGTTCAGGTATTCCGACTAAATTTTATACGAACCTGTTTGATCCCCACTCCCATACATGCTACTTACTGGTCCAGCGAAACAGAAGATACCAACACATCATATGAACTGACGTGCCTAATTTCTTAACCAAGTTAGTAATATGTATTTCACAACAATAATTTTACTATTTCACTGCATAATTTAAATTACTGCAGTTTCCGACTTCGTTAAATTCGTCACGCATAACCTCGAAGGTTCGAAGTATGTTTACTATTGTCTTGCAGAAAACTTACTGAAGTCTAGCTGCAATGGTTCATTAATTACCAACATCATGATGTGGCAGACAGCGCCGTAAAGCGGTTGACGGGTATACCCCCCCCCCCCCCGGGGGTCCTGCTGACCTCCAGACCAACCAGAAAATTTTACAACTCAAACTGGCGTCGGAGGGGGGGTGATGATAAGTGTAGGCGATGAATAATCTCAGTGTATTTTAGGGTATATGAAATTACAGTAGGTAAGAGAAACGAGCAATCCACCTTGTTAGGTTATAGTGCATTTCGCAAGACTGAGCACAATCTGTTCGTCCCGACAGTGAAGGATGTTCGCTTCCTCACTTCAGACGATGAAAT